CAGTATTTGCTGGGAGTTCTGTATTATTTACATCTTTTGACTGATTTTGCTGAGTGGAATAAGAACGACTTATTCTCTGAATGTTCATATGCTGGGAGAGATTGTAACTTTCATTAAAAAGGCAACTTGCACACTTAGCTTGTGTATGCGCTGTACTTCCAGTCAGAGATGATACAGCATTAACATCTTGAACTTGTTTAGAAGATAAAACTAATTGTTTTCGATTGCTTAGAAACAGTTTGAATGAGTTTAATGTAGTTCGATTTGGTGGAAAAAGTGGTATATCGTTTCCTAATGATTCAACATTTTTACCAATTATAAAGTTTTTAAATAAATTAGCCATATCCTTTTTCATTTCTTCACTCACATCAATTTCATCATTTCCATTGCCATTCTCTAATCTGAAATACTAAAAAAAGACTGCCAATTAATACAAAATTAAATTATATGATAAATATAATTAGTTTTCAATAATTAATATTAGAGTATTCGTCAAGAATATTTTTAGGCTTTCACATTAATCTGTGAGTTCTTTCAACAAGAAAATAATATATATATAAATGAAGATGTTTGTGTTTGTTCACTATGCAGGCCTAGGCAGTTATGTTCACATGCTTCTAACTTAGATAATTTCATACATCTCACATGAAAATATCAATAGGATTTTTATACATCAATTAATTTCTTTCAAATTTTGATCTGTTGGGTTTACATGTAGCACCATATATTGGCAAAAAAAAATTAAGAAAATAAACTAAATATAATTCAGGCAATACACCAACCAAAGCCAAATTATCGGACAAGAACCAGCTAAACTAATAATAATTTATAAGATAATTTGATACTAGAGTTAGGTGTTAGGTGCCATCTCTTACTAAATTTAATAATTATAATTTTAATTAAATAATTTAGAACTAGCTGGAAGAAAAGAATCTGATTTTAATTATCTTATAAATTATTATTAGTTTAGCTGGTTCTAGCCTGATAATTCGGCTTTGGTTGGTGTATTGCCTTAATGTATAATAGGTTAGTTGATTGAGGATGTTTATATATATATATATGCCTTGTTGGCATTGCCCTGTATTCCAGGCCTGATTATGCTCAGCGGTACCAGATCATGTACTGTACAATGTACATTTAAATAAAATCTGAATCTGTAGTACTGTTGAATAACTCCTTCCAACTGAATCTTGTTTCCTACTTCATCCTCTTATCCCTAGTCTCACATACACAACCGCATTACTGCCATCCACAAAACACTCAAAACTCATGTAGAAGGTGTAACCTACTTGGTGTCAGAAAAACACTCAAATAGTGGTACCTGGACGTCACCCAGCAACCCTCACAATGGTGTCAGACTCAACACACCACCAACAGAGAAACTCACACTAGGCACCATATTAAGTTGAGATTGAAGATGGTGTCAAATTAACATCGACACTGACCTTTCTTACACCTGAGAAAAATCTCAATTTCACTTGGAACATATCACTGAATAGCAAAGAACTCTCAACACCAATCAGAATGTCAGACTGAGAGACCTGTTCTATAAAAATCCATGTCTCAAGAACATGAAATGCCTTTGAATAGTTCAAAAAACTGTGAACAAGAATTATCAGATATAAAGAAATAAATGATCTCCAGCTTCATCTCATTGTTTTGTCTGTTGTAATTAAAGATACACTCATACTCTCTAAACCATTGCTGAACATCTTCATCATGTTCAACCTTATAAGCTTTGATTGAAAGTTCTTTGTATGAATGAGATACATACCACTATATATATGTTTGATTCAGCTGCAAGCCAGCAGCCAAATCAAACATGTATTTAACCTGTATTCTGATAGAAATGGTAGATATTTTACTCTCATCTGAATGTGGTTAATACAAGCATAAAAAAGCTAACAAAAGTCCCAATTCTAGGCTTAATCGTCACTATTGATACTGGCATTTTAATTCCACAACTGTTGTGTCTATGCAGTAAGGTATTCTTTCGGTCACTCATTGCTTTCACCAAAATGTCACAAATAATGAAAATAAAACAATAAAGGAAGTGATTCTTTATACCCAGTTTACTTTAGTAAAAATATACTCAACTGTTTTAAATATTATTTTTGTACACAAAATAAATCATTATTCAGAAATGAACTTTNAACATCTTCTAATACACTACCTGAGTGTATCAGAAGATGTTGTTGCAATTAAATTATTTTTGGAATTTTCTCAGGTTCAGATTAACAAGAGTACACTATAAAATATATTTTACTTTAAAATGTAAATTATTACCAATATGAATGGTAATTTTTTTTAATTTATTAATTTCTGCATGATTTTATTATATTGCCTTTAGTAAAATAAGTTTAGTAGCCTTTTAGTAGCAGTTTATCAAAGTATACATAAATTATAAAAAGAAAAGTGATCTTAGTGTAAGTTAAAAAATTTAAATTACCAGCCGGTGGTTTTCCTGCTTGGCGCAAGCTCCTTCTAGTAGGTTCTGGAACTTCTCTAGGTTTTCGCTTCTTGCCAGAGTTTGTTACTATTTTCAAAAAACAGCAAGAAATTTAATTTAATATGAGATTAAACAAATTATATAATATTTCCATTATATTTTAATTCTTCATCACTGAATTCATATTTATAACTATTATTATTAGATATGGGTTCAGAATAAAAACAGTTAAAGATATGAATAATAAAATAGTTGAATTTTCAAGTCTTTATATATATAATTTTTTTTAAACACTCTCTGCCCTATGGGCACTAAGAAGGCCTCTTTAAGCAAGCCCATTATGGGTTTGGCCAAGCCCAAAATGGGGCAACTGGGTGGTGAAAGACAGGACCTGACATATCCTAACAGACCACCCCCTGAAAAATTTCTGGGGATTTTTCGATCTGTCAGGGTTTGATCCTGGGTCCCCCAGAATGATAGACTGCCACCTATTTCAAGAGGCAATAATTTTATTTAAAAAAAAAAGTACAGTGGTGCTTCGTATAATGTACTTAATCCGTTCCAGGTGCACGTCCATTAAGTGAAAAGTCTGTTATACGAAATGTATTTTCCCACAGAAATACATGTTAAAACATATAATTCGTTCCACAGCATAAAATAACCATACTGTGCAATAAAATAAATGAAAATGGAGGAGTCGCCAATTATGCAGGTTAGTCAAATGTTGTGAAGAGGAGGTGGAGGAACACTTTCTTTACACATTCATACAGATAGACTTTTTACACATTGCAGCAAGTCTCTTTTTATTGTTTTTTAATCAGAGTCAGATTCGGGAGAGGCTACCGGAGCATGCAGGGTCATCTCCTCTTGTTCCATATCCTTTGTTTTTTGNTTAAGAAGAGGAATATTATATATTAACAAAAATTATCATTAACTAGAAGTTTATTAATTATAATTTCTGTTGTAATACGCAGAAAATATTCTAGTACAGGGGTGGCAAACCTATGGCATGTGTACACATTGGGAGATATCGTCTGGCATGTAATGTATCATATGTATCATCACCTATCTTTTTCAATAATTTGTTTGATTTATCACGCAATAATCCTTTTTTTTTCAATCAGCTTCTTTATAATTATTCTAGTTACAGCATATTCATTTCTTTTATTTAAATATTGTTACTCAAAGTCTAAATCTTTGGTGCACACAAACTTTTTATAGATAATCATGATTAGTATACAGTATGTGAACTCAAAAAGGTTTTCCATCCATGCTCTAGTATCATAGCTTGTTCAAAGTTAATCATAAATATTGTAAACCAATTGTTGGAGTTCTTGTCAGCACTTTAAAACTCTCAATAAAAAATACTAATTGAAGAGGGATTATAATTTAAAATTCGCATTTATTTATTTGCCAGAAATGCATTTTAACAAAATATATTTTTCAGTTGTGTGTTAATTTTACAATAAAGAATGAAAATAAAAAATGGTAAAATCACATAAGAGTGGTTTCAAGTTGGTGTGATAAACCCTTAATAATGGAAATTATTAATCTATAAAATTTTAACAATTAAAGGGTAAAAAGTTTTAAAAATTAAAATTAACTGTCATTTGTTGTTTTTGAATCATTTTAAATTTAATATTTAGGCAAAGTAAGGTAGATAGTAATGGTTAAACACTGAGTAGAGAGTAAAAAGTAAAATTTAAGTGTATATCAAAATTACACTTACATGTTGTGGCATTACTATGGTGAATTATTAAAATATTAAAAAGTTCACAAGCACTTTCAGTAATGTACAGTTACCATCTTCAGGTGAAAATGAATACAACCGTTTTCTATTCTTGAAATAAATGATGCGGCTAGATGGAACATCAATTTAAATAGAAATTTTCATGCAGTTCGAAAATGTTTAGAATTGGAACTACTTTATATTTCAACACTAACACCATGTAATACCACAACTCTAGAAATTCCTAAAATATGGACTACATTATTTAATTTAATTATTAATTAAGCATCACTATCTAGATTTCTAGAGCTACATGGTCGCATAGCAACCATTGTTTGAGAATTTGTACATCATTCTGTTCCAATTCTAAACATTTTCGAACTGCATAAAAAATTCTATTTAAATTGGTGTTCCATTCAGCCGCACCAGTTATTTCAAGAATAGAAAATTGTTGTATTCATTTTCACCTGAAGATAGTAACTGTACATTACTGAAAGTGCTTGTGAACTTTTTAATATTTTAACAATTCACCATGGTAACGCCACAACACGTAAGTGTAATTTTGATATTTACAAAGTCAACATGAAGTGACTATTAAATTTTATAAATTTAAGTGTGTATTTTGATCTAGTTACATTTGTTTTTCAAGCAAATGTGAAAGTTGATAAATGTATCCTTAAATTCTAGAAATTAAATCTAGGAAATAACTAAAACATCTGAAAAATTTTTTGTTAATGTATTGTTTAAATATTTTTCTGTTATTAAATAAAGACAAACTTATATTTATCAAAGCAATACACAAAGAAAAATTATTCATCTTACCTCCATTTTCAAATTTAGAATTTGATCTTGAAGTGCTCGATAAACAATATTTCTTCTTTCTATCTTCTTTTGGCAACTAACTGTTCTAGTAAGAGGTTTACTACAACTTACTTCTTCATTTTCTTCAGTATTCTACAGAAATTTATAAAATATAAAACATAAACAAATTTTTTAAGTATTGTTTTTAAACAGTTAATTACAAAATTTAAAATTTCACTATATTTTAAAAAATTTCTCTTTAAAGATATAACAATTTGATCAAAAAAAATTTTGTATCGTGAATTCTTACTAACCTGAACTATTTATTACACAGTTTTTTTTTTGTATTAGTAGGATTATAAAGAAAAGAAAATCAAAACGAACTGTAATATATACATATATTAAAAAAGACCTTTAATATAGGTATTTATTATAGTCCTTTTATTATACTGTATTTGGTGTGTATGTATGTGTGTGTATTAATATGTATAACATTTTAATATACATGGTTTTCCTAAAGATCATGTGAAACTTTATACTTCAATAACTAAAAAGGTATGAATGTTAAAATTATTACATTGTATTAAACTACAAGCATTAATTTTACATAATCTGTAATATCTGTTATTATTTTATAAAAAATAATCTGTAATATCTTTTATTATTTTTGCCTGAAAATTTTTAGAGGGGGGGAAAAACTCTTCCAGAATACTGAATTCCAGAATGTCATAACAACAAGATCTGATTAACAGATATCCTAATATCCCACTTTCATATGCACTGAGAATGTGGTTTCTTTTTTTAATCTTTATTTTTCTACATGTCATCCAGTTATGAAACTGTATGTTAGATAATTTCTGAATCTGTTAAATTCAAATTCTTTCTCATCATCTCTACTATCCAACGAAAAGTTTTCAGTGTTTTTATCTACTAATTAATTAAAACTTAGAAATCTTATAAAAACATTGAAAATTTCTTGAAAAAGTAATACTAAACTTAAACTCTTCTATTTAATATGCAATATTGCATAGTTTAATCATATTAATTTCTTGTAATTAAGTACAACTTGAATCAAATAAAATTTATTTTCAACTTGGTGAAAAAAAATTTCTCAGGCAAGCAGAATTCAAATGTGACAGAATGCATGTTATCTATATTATAAAAATTTATTCCTCTCATAACAGCTTGTTTAATCATGGTAAAAAATTTATTCAAATATTTTATTTACATAGAGAAGTTTGTATATAAGTATGTTGAAGTTTCAACAAACTTATATACATATCATTAAATTATCATGTATATAAATTTAATATTTTTGTATAAATATTTAATAATGATAATTTTCAAAGTCAGGACTTTTTATTTAAAAAAAGTGATTTAAAAATTACTTTTATAAAATAAAAGTTCAATTTCTGAAGACACTGAAAACATCTATATTTGTGAGAAACAAAGATGATGGAAATTGTGTTATAAGAATAACTTTATGACAAAGTTCCAATTTCTGTGATAATTTTACTTTGTAAAAAGTTATAAATATTTAAAATGAAATAAATTTAATTAGATCATTCACATATAAATATGGTAACTCTACTTATTGTAACCACAAATAGGCTGTTAGAATTAGCATGACTAAAAACATATAAGATAGAACAACCTTATAAGACTTGGCATATCATATCTCAATTTTCAATTATTGTTATTAGTCTAAAATATTTAATGTTTAAAGCACTAGTTATCATTTTAATCATTATTTACTTGCTGGCATCTCTTACTTTAATTACTTGCTTAAAGCCACGGAAGATAAACAGTACTAGATAAATTACATATTAATTTATAATTATTATAATTAATAAATTTTCAAGTTATACATTTTTAATTGTTTTAACATGTTCTATTAATATCAGAGTCGATAAATCAAAATTTCCACTAATTTGTAATCTTACTCACTCATTTTACTTAATGTTATCAGTAAGCAAAATGATTATAATAAGCAAATTCTACTGTATTAGGCTTTATCAGTTAATTTAAAAAATTATTTGAGTTTTATTGATAGCATATAATACTACATGTTTTATTAATATATAATAAATTTAATATTCAACTTTTATTAAAAACTGGGTCTTACTATTGAATCTAATGCATTTGGAACTTTCGCTTTGATGAGACGATATCGTTGGTATATAGAATTATCAGTCCTCCCAGGTAAATATTGAGCTACTTTTGACCACTTTCCTAATAAAATCAAGTTTTGAAATTAAATTTTTCTAAAAATATAGAATAAAATTTAAATCTATCTTATATATTATTTCTAAATATTTAAAAATATTCTACTTGTAAGACATTTGAAAAATTTACAGATCTCAATTTTACAACCTAATTTATTCAAGGAAACACAGTTTTATTTATGTAATAAAAAAAAAACTTTAAATATTGCATTTCACTCAGTCATAACACAAAATTTAAAGTTGTATAGTGAGAAATTGTAATACTACAGGGTGGGTGGAAACTAACTAGGCATTGAGAAATGCTATGATTTTGTAATAATAATAAAGCAATCATAATAAAATTTATCTGTGTATGTACATTAATCAATAGGATTTTATAATTCCTACCTTGGTAGTGTGGTCAGTGACCAAGAAAGGCTGCACACACAGTGGTAAAAAAGATGCCCAACCACTTGTCTGTTCAGGAGCAAGCACAGATTGCTGTATGCTATAAAACAGGGGTGTCCAACCTGTGGCCCAAGGCAAGTTCCAATGCGGCCCAATAAACGTGTAAACTAAACCGACAAAATGTTTTAATTTTTTTATTATTTATCTATTTCAACGGCATAAACTCAAAAAAGAAGTTTCACAAAGCCGTAAACTTTTATTCGTATTTTATTCTTGAGTGGAAAGGAAATATTTTCAAATACTTGGAAATGTGTGAATGAGGAAGGATTACTAAATAAANTTTAAAAAAAGTGATTTAAAAATTACTTTTATAAAATAAAAGTTCAATTTCTGAAGACACTGAAAACATCTATATTTGTGAGAAACAAAGATGATGGAAATTGTGTTATAAGAATAACTTTATGACAAAGTTCCAATTTCTGTGATAATTTTACTTTGTAAAAAGTTATAAATATTTAAAATGAAATAAATTTAATTAGATCATTCACATATAAATATGGTAACTCTACTTATTGTAACCACAAATAGGCTGTTAGAATTAGCATGACTAAAAACATATAAGATAGAACAACCTTATAAGACTTGGCATATCATATCTCAATTTTCAATTATTGTTATTAGTCTAAAATATTTAATGTTTAAAGCACTAGTTATCATTTTAATCATTATTTACTTGCCGGCATCTCTTACTTTAATTACTTGCTTAAAGCCACGGAAGATAAACAGTACTAGATAAATTACATATTAATTTATAATTATTATAATTAATAAATTTTCAAGTTATACATTTTTAATTGTTTTAACATGTTCTATTAATATCAGAGTCGATAAATCAAAATTTCCACTAATTTGTAATCTTACTCACTCATTTTACTTAATGTTATCAGTAAGCAAAATGATTATAATAAGCAAATTCTACTGTATTAGGCTTTATCAGTTAATTTAAAAAATTATTTGAGTTTTATTGATAGCATATAATACTACATGTTTTATTAATATATAATAAATTTAATATTCAACTTTTATTAAAAACTGGGTCTTACTATTGAATCTAATGCATTTGGAACTTTCGCTTTGATGAGACGATATCGTTGGTATATAGAATTATCAGTCCTCCCAGGTAAATATTGAGCTACTTTTGACCACTTTCCTAATAAAATCAAGTTTTGAAATTAAATTTTTCTAAAAATATAGAATAAAATTTAAATCTATCTTATATATTATTTCTAAATATTTAAAAATATTCTACTTGTAAGACATTTGAAAAATTTACAGATCTCAATTTTACAACCTAATTTATTCAAGGAAACACAGTTTTATTTATGTAATAAAAAAAAAACTTTAAATATTGCATTTCACTCAGTCATAACACAAAATTTAAAGTTGTATAGTGAGAAATTGTAATACTACAGGGTGGGTGGAAACTAACTAGGCATTGAGAAATGCTATGATTTTGTAATAATAATAAAGCAATCATAATAAAATTTATCTGTGTATGTACATTAATCAATAGGATTTTATAATTCCTACCTTGGTAGTGTGGTCAGTGACCAAGAAAGGCTGCACACACAGTGGTAAAAAAGATGCCCAACCACTTGTCTGTTCAGGAGCAAGCACAGATTGCTGTATGCTATAAAACAGGGGTGTCCAACCTGTGGCCCAAGGCAAGTTCCAATGCGGCCCAATAAACGTGTAAACTAAACCGACAAAATGTTTTAATTTTTTTATTATTTATCTATTTCAACGGCATAAACTCAAAAAAGAAGTTTCACAAAGCCGTAAACTTTTATTTGTATTTTATTCTTGAGTGGAAAGGAAATATTTTCAAATACTTGGAAATGTGTGAATGAGGAAGGANTGCTATCCATTCACATCACAATACCCAGTCATTTGAAAAAGTTGGTGGATGGCATCAGTGTCTACATTGAATTTTGACTTTGAAATATGCATATCTATTTGCATTTAATAAAGAACATGTAAAATAATTTATCATCATCTTTGCATTACAAATAAAATTATTGCAATTTCTCAATGCCTAGTTATTTTTCACCCACATGTAGTCATAAAGCAAAGATCTACTGAACTTTAAGCCATTCTAAGTTTTACCTTCAGAAATATTTTTATTAATTATATTTCTAAAGAGAAAAACTAAAGAAAAACCAAACAAAATTAAAGTGAATTTAAAATACTGTTTAAAAAATCTTTTAAGTATATGAGGTAACTGAAATTAAAGATATTTCTACTTTATCATTTTACTTATATAACATTGCAACATAATATAATTGCTTAGTCATTACAGACAAATAGACTTAACAATCTTTCTAATAAGACTGATAAGAATATCTATGATAACATTATGTATACTTGAATTTCTTTCTTGATAATAATTGTTCCTATATATATCAACAACACATTCTGGTTTTCCATCAGACAATTTTGAACATCTATATTACAGTCCTTCATACAAATTTCCAGTTTGTTTCAACTCTTTAACCATTGCTTATGGTATTTGGTATATATGGAAGTGAAAAATCATTTTTTGTAACTTGGAAATACCAGACAGAATTAATGATATCATTAGTAGTTTTATGGTACAGATAAACTAATAATGCCTTGTTTGCAGCAAGGTGAATCGTACTGATTATCCCAAATTGTATTTATCCTTAACTGTATGTCTTATAGTATCTATTTTTATATTAGGTGGTATGATTAAAAAGAAACTGGACTATTTCCATTGTTGAGTAATACAGTATCAAAATGTATAGTCCTTTTGTCACTATAGTTTGATTGATGCCTTAGACATTTCAGTTGCAATCTGCTAAGCGGGGTTGAAATCTTCAAACCAGATCACTTTAACACATTATTACAAAATCGTGTAACGTGTCATACTGCACTTCAAGAATGTACAGTACTTGAAACTGAGCAAAGAGCAAATGTTAAATTTTGCATTGAACTTAAAAAATATACCACAGAGACCTATGAAATGCTTTGGGTTGACTATGGTATCTAAGCCATGGGAGAGACCACAATTTCTGAAATCCATGAAGGCAAAGAAAGTCAGGAGCATAACAAAAATCACGCAGATTTTTTTATTATCGTAAGGGGATTGTGTATTGGGAATTGATGAAGTGATTCTACTCAATCATACAATGAATTCAGACTTTTACTGTAACATTTTGAGTGAATTGCATGAGTATGTTTGTTGTAAAAGATTGGAACTGTGGCATAACCAAATCTAGTTCCATCACAATATTGCTTCTGTGCAAACAGCTTTCAAAACAAAAGCAATTTTGATGAAAAACAACATGGATGTCTTCCTTCACCCTCCTTACTTGCTAGATTTAGCTGCTGGTGACTTCTTTTTCTTCTCCAGAATGAAATTGAAGCTCAAGGAGTGGTATTTTGAAACAATCAAGAAAATCCAGTCCAAATCACAAAGATACTTTGGAATTTTTGAAACAATGAGGTTTGGCAGAAGTAATGGATTTCAGGTGAACAGACTACTTTAAAAAGGATGGTGGACAGATTTAAATTAGTTGAATATTAAAATATTTACAGAACATTTCTGGTTTGTTTTTGATCATACCTTGTATATCTAGTTCTCTGACAACAAAAATTGCAATTATTGCCCAATAAATTTTTCCCATCTGCAATCACTTACATCAGTAAGTAATTATAATGAAATTTTCTAAGTAATTACCTGTCTAAAATGGAAGCTGAATAAAATGGAAAAAATTCTTTGGAAAGGAACAATTTTTTTATGTTAAATCTTATTATAAACTGGAAAGAAATTTGTTCAACACTGAAACAGAAGAGATTCTTGGGCACAAACAAGTAACTTAACCTAAATAAACTGAAAAATTAAAATTCCATTCATAGTCAAACAAATAAAATTACCTCCATGTATAACAATCACCACAGAACATAATAAACTATATTCCAAGAACAATTTCAAACCGTCTCATAGAACTTTTGTTTCTCTGACAAGGTGCCTAGAGAGATGATCATTGCTAATATTAGTCTTCATTTGAATTAATCGGGAGCAAAATTAAATACTTTTTAAGAATCAAGAACTTTCAAGATTCAAATGAGTTTCTAAGAATGGAATTCTAGAGAACAAGCAACAAATGAAATTAATGAAAACAATGAGAATAAAGTGACAGCTATCTGTGTCCCTTGCACAAAGCAGTTAGTGACAGACTAATAAAAAAATTCAAAAACCTGTTGTTTAACATATTGATGATTACAGAGATTGAAGTGAATTATTAATTAAGACATTAAAATTCCTCAAGAAGATCAAAGAACCAGTCTCTCTCTGTATTACTAAAATGCACTTAGAATTAATGCCAAATTATTGCCAGATTATGTTTTATTATAGCCTGATGTAATCTGCCAATCTTTTGGCATTAAACTAAAAATCAGGTTCTTGAATGTTTATATTTGAATGAAATTAGCAATTTGCTAAATCAATAAACTGTTATTATTAAAATATATATATGTTACAGTCAAAACCCGTTTTTAGTTAGAACGCGTTTTAACTAGTTGAAACTAGTTTATACTGAATGTCTTTGTTAAAACCCGTTTTGTCTAGTTGAAACTAGTTTATACTGAATGTCTTTGTTAAAACCCGTTTTGTCTAGTTGAAACTAGTTTATACTGAATGTCTTTGTTAAAACCCGTTTTGTCTAGTTGAAACTAGTTTATACTGAATGTCTTTGTTAAAACCCGTTTTGTCTAGTTGAAACTAGTTTATACTGAATGTCTTTGTTAAAACCCGTTTTGTCTAGTTGAAACTAGTTTATACTGAATGTCTTTGTTAAAACCCGTTTTGTCTAGTTGAAACTAGTTTATACTGAATGTCTTTGTTAAAACCCGTTTTGTCTAGTTGAAACTAGTTTATACTGAATGTCTTTGTTAAAACCCGTTTTGTCTAGTTGAAACTAGTTTATACTGAATGTCTTTGTTAAAACCCGTTTTGTCTAGTTGAAACTAGTTTATACTGAATGTCTTTGTTAAAACCCGTTTTGTCTAGTTGAAACTAGTTTATACTGAATGTCTTTGTTAAAACCCGTTTTGTCTAGTTGAAACTAGTTTATACTGAATGTCTTTGTTAAAACCCGTTTTGTCTAGTTGAAACTAGTTTATACTGAATGTCTTTGTTAAAACCCGTTTTGTCTAGTTGAAACTAGTTTATACTGAATGTCTTTGTTAAAACCCGTTTTGTCTAGTTGAAACTAGTTTATACTGAATGTCTTTGTTAAAACCCGTTTTGTCTAGTTGAAACTAGTTTATACTGAATGTCTTTGTTAAAACCCGTTTTGTCTAGTTGAAACTAGTTTATACTGAATGTCTTTGTTAAAACCCGTTTTGTCTAGTTGAAACTAGTTTATACTGAATGTCTTTGTTAAAACCCGTTTTGTCTAGTTGAAACTAGTTTATACTGAATGTCTTTGTTAAAACCCGTTTTGTCTAGTTGAAACTAGTTTATACTGAATGTCTTTGTTAAAACCCGTTTTGTCTAGTTGAAACTAGTTTATACTGAATGTCTTTGTTAAAACCCGTTTTGTCTAGTTGAAACTAGTTTATACTGAATGTCTTTGTTAAAACCCGTTTTGTCTAGTTGAAACTAGTTTATACTGAATGTCTTTGTTAAAACCCGTTTTGTCTAGTTGAAACTAGTTTATACTGAATGTCTTTGTTAAAACCCGTTTTGTCTAGTTGAAACTAGTTTATACTGAATGTCTTTGTTAAAACCCGTTTTGTCTAGTTAAAACTAGAATTTACTGCTAGTCAAAAATGAATTTGAGTTAAAACTAGTTTTAACTAGACAAAACGGGTTTCAAAAATGAATTTGAGTTAAAACTAGTTTTAACTAGACGAAACGGGTTTTAACAAAGACATTCAGTATAAACTAGTTTCAACTAGTTAAAACGCGTTCTAACTAAAAACGGGTTTTGACTGTAACATATATATTAATATTTGAATGAAATTAGAATTTCTGATTGAGAGCAAAATTCCTTATAGGAATTGCATTTAAACAGTATTTGAATACTTAACATAAATTCTTAGAAACAATGAGAATTTTTTTGCAATCAAACAGTTCTAAATTCTTGCATTCAAATACTTCAATCTCTAATTGGAATCACTTTGGATTAATTTGGATTAAGCCTAGAACTTTTTTTATGTAAGTAAAAGTGATTTTATTACAGAAAAAAAACAAACATAACTACATGTCATTTGTCTAGCACATTTTAAAGATATAAAAAAGTAAAACCTGTTCAAAATGTAAAACTGCAAAAATGAAAATAATTTGATACTCTGTGATCCAGTTTACACAAGTTTTTATGTATTATATTTTTAAGTTATAACTTTTTTTTTAAAGGTTTGAGATCATTATCTATATGTCTTTGCTTATATAGTTTTAAATTTAAGAGTTATAGCATATATTTAAGACAGTTTAAAAAAATAATTATAATATTCAATTATCCAAAGACCTAAATATATTCATGAAAAGTTTATAAAAATATTTATCAGCAATATATTAAAGAACTATTTTTATAAACAATTCTAATTCCAAATTATTATATATAATATGTAATTTGTTTTTTAAAACTGACCTTCACCAATTTCATTAACCACTTTCATGAGCTTTTTATCTTCATCAGCTGTCCAGGAGCCTAACATCAAATTTTCTTTCAAAGAATTTTTATATCTAAATAAAATAAATAATAGATAAATCTTCAAAATATTATCAAAATCCAATAAATAAATAAATCTTAATTATTTATTGTAACATTGTCATAATGCCCGGCTGCAATTTTTAATTATATTTTAATTGGGTCTTCACTTTCCGTATATGGTCTTGATTTTCATCCATCTAACTCCATTCTCAAAATTAATGAAATAAGGATGGACAGATGGACAACAGTGAGAATCTACAGGTCTGTAATTTGAAAATGTCAGCCCAATAATTCATATTTCATGAGAATAGAAAAGCATTTAGGGCACAGCACTTTGTACATCACTCATGACATACTTTAATTCTTATGCTTTAAATCTTACAAAAGTTTAGATATGTTTTATATATCACAGAAAGCATTAAAACTCTTTATATTAATACTTTAATCATTAATTGCAATTTTGATTAAAAATTACCCAAACAAAATTTGAGTAAATACTTAAACTGTATTTTTGATATTGTAGACAACTTTATCTTCCCTAATGTTTTTTTATTAGTTCATAATATTCATCATTTTCTCTTCTTTTGGATTTATTAAAAAGATATTTGTAAAATGCTTTAAAAAAGAATATAAGAAATGTATTTAATGCTAATCTATTGAACCAAATTTGAATCAAAAACATTGCAAGTTTATGAGCCCTCCTTTTTGTTAGAACTAAGAACATAATTCAAAATGTCATATTTAATATTAAAGCTAAAATCATAAAATTTCATAGATGTTATAGAGTATAAACTATTATTTATGTTAAAATCATAAATTAAACAAAAAACAAATAATGAAAATTTTTACAAATGATTTTCATCCAAAATCAAAACTGGCAGAAAGCACAACTGTTTAATACTATGAATTTTTTTTAATCAGCTGAAAATGAATGAAAGTGTATGTAAAAGTGATGTAGGAGTATCAAAGTACAGTAAGTAAGAATATGATGTATGGTACATATGGAAAAGTGTATGGTCTAAAAAGTTGAGAAGTTTCTATACCACTTTTAAGGTAAAGAATAACTTACTACTTTGAACACATTAAAATTTTTCAAAACATATAAGATAATCATGACATTTCCTTATAGCAATAATTTATGCGTCTTATAAATGATAAAACTAAGATTGAAGAGCACTATATTATTCAAAAAACTAATTAATTTTAAGTGTTAAATTTACAGTGGCAATAGCCTTTTTTTGTAAAAATAGAGAATTAGAAAAATTATAGTAGTCAAATATATAAATAGTGTCATAATATGACAAATAAGCAATTTTTGATAAAATTTATATGTATTAGAAATACCTCTCACGACACTGATTATTTGTTCTTCCCGGAAGATACTGAGCTACTTTAATCCAATCTTCTCCATGCTTNTTTCAACTAGTTAAAACGCGTTCTAACTAAAAACGGGTTTTGACTGTAACATATATATTAATATTTGAATGAAATTAGAATTTCTGATTGAGAGCAAAATTCCTTATAGGAATTGCATTTAAACAGTATTTGAATACTTAACATAAATTCTTAGAAACAATGAGAATTTTTTTGCAATCAAACAGTTCTAAATTCTTGCATTCAAATACTTCAATCTCTAATTGGAATCACTTTGGATTAATTTGGATTAAGCCTAGAACTTTTTTTATGTAAGTAAAAGTGATTTTATTACAGAAAAAAAACAAACATAACTACATGTCATTTGTCTAGCACATTTTAAAGATATAAAAAAGTAAAACCTGTTCAAAATGTAAAACTGCAAAAATGAAAATAATTTGATACTCTGTGATCCAGTTTACACAAGTTTTTATGTATTATATTTTTAAGTTATAACTTTTTTTTTAAAGGTTTGAGATCATTATCTATATGTCTTTGCTTATATAGTTTTAAATTTAAGAGTTATAGCATATATTTAAGACAGTTTAAAAAAATAATTATAATATTCAATTATCCAAAGACCTAAANCACTCTGCTCATTATCTAGGTAATTTGAGAAATGGAACAATTTTCGCAACTTTAATGGATCACCCTAGTTAATCTGCAGATTAGCTAGGTAATGTACACATTAACGACTTTCGAGCTTTAGCGGTAACAGGAACACAAAACACGTCATATCGGACTTCAGGACAAGAACTGAAATTAGTAACTGATGCAATAATACGTAATTCGAGATTTATGGGCGAGTTAGCCCATAGAAACATGTTAAATCACGATTTACATTTTTATAAGTTAAATCTAGACAAACAACATCACTGAAACCCGATACATCATAAAACTACATGTCTTGGTTTGTAGTTAAACCTAGAGACGAGCAATTATTTATTGTGACATTGTCATAATGCCCGGCTGCAATTTTTAATTATATTTTTAATGGATTTAATTTCAAATATATGCTCTCTCCCTCAAATTAGTAGTAAATTTTTCCCGTACATCATACTTTTCTTTAAACAATAGAGTCGCGCTGTTCATCTATCTAACACACTTCGAAAGTGATATTTCTTATCTGATACACACATTAGCAAAAATTGATAAGTTGACGATTTTTAAATTTTACAAACAATTATTGATTTCGGATATTTTAGAGGCTTATAAATAACTAGCAGGTGGGCCCGGCGTTGCTCGGGCAAAAGTAACGATAACTAAGATAAAGATTATTACGTTACAGTCAACCTTACCCGTTATCACAGAATGCAAGAATTGGGTCCCCTTGTTTCCAGATTAATTAGAGAATTTTTAGATGGGTCTAAATATTATGTTCGATTTCCCGCAAAAACGAAAAAAAACTGCATCTGCGTATTGCACGTCGCTTTCTCTTAACAATTCCATTGTTGACACTTCCATTGTTACTTAAAACTTTTATTGTTACTTAAAACTTCCATTGTTACTTAACACTTCCATTGTTATTTAGCACTTCCATTGTTACTTGACACTTCCATTGTTGATGGAAGTGTTAAGCCTTAATTTTGTCCCTCTCCCCCGTGGGGAGGAATTTCGAAAAATTACTTTTTAGTGTGCGTTCTCCTAACGTACCCTAACTGTGTACCAAATTTCAACTTTCAACTCCTAACCGTTTGGGCTTGTATCCATAATGTATATAGAAATTTTAATCCTGTCTCTCTCCCCCGGAAGGAATTTCGAAAAATCCCTTCTTAGTGTGCGTTTTCATGACATACTCTATCTGTGTACCAAATTTCAACTTTCAACTCCTAACCGTTTGGGCTCTGCGCTTATTATTATTATTATTATCATCAACCCGTCTCGATTATATATTAGATAATAAGATTATTCAAATAATTCACTGTATTATACAGACAAGCGTATTCAATGATCAAAGTGATTAATTTCACAGAAAGCATTATTTTGACAAATAACATATACAGAATTATTCTATCTATATATATTAATATCATCCAAATAAATAATATACATTTAATTGATCACTATTTATAACATTAATAATATTTTTGATACCGGACAGTGAAATAATTATGAAGCGCAAATGACATGATAAATGAGACAAANAAATATATAAATAGTGTCATAATATGACAAATAAGCAATTTTTGATAAAATTTATATGTATTAGAAATACCTCTCACGACACTGATTATTTGTTCTTCCCGGAAGATACTGAGCTACTTTAATCCAATCTTCTCCATGCTTTTTTACTGCAGTTATTAGAATCTATATATAAAAATTATAAATTATTTTACATTAAAAATAAAAACAAATATTTATAAATTTTCTTAAATAATAAAAACTTTTTGAATTGAACATATGATCAATTTTTATTCTATAAAATTTTAATGTTATTTAATTCTTAAATGATGTTAAATGACTATAGTTAGTTTATATGAAGTTCAAAATGTTTTATATCAAGTTAAGAGAAATTAATCGCATTGTTGTTAAATGTTTACTATTTACATAAATTTGAAGTAATCAAAATTAAACTAAAAATGAAAGAAAAAAAAAAAGTCAGAAAAACTAAAAAAATTATTTTATAAAATATACAGCAAGAAAGAAGTATAATTAATTTTTTTTATAATTTTTTCCCAGTTGGCACTAAGAGATCCTTTTTAATCATACCCATCATGGACTCAGCTAGATGGTGAGGGATGTGATTTGACGTATCCAAGATAACCCATGAAAAATTTCTGGAGTTGTTTGTTTGAATTCGATCCTCGATAACCTAGAGCAGCAGCTGATTTCTTACTGCTTTTATCTTTTAGCTGTAATAAAATTAGAATCAAAAAATATGATTCTATTGGTTTATGGAATGGGATGCTCTTGTCTGTAATGTTTTATGTAAAGAGATTATTATTTAACCTGTAACTTTTAATTTAATGCTTTAATATACTTTATATATAAGTATATGATTTTTGAGTAAAATAATTTAATTGTAAAATGAAAAAACTATTAGGGCCATTTCACATTACATCAGTCAATCAATTCGATTCAATTCAATTCAAAAAAAAAAAAAAAAATGCTTTCATGCTGAACATCCTAGTCAGTCAGTCTGTGGCCAGAGTTGGTTGAAGATGGATGTACTGATACTAATTCAAGGAATAATTATATGTTGATTACAAAGAAGAAAGAGGTGACAAAGAAAACTATTTTGCATTCATCCTATAAATACTAGAAAACACAATTTTGGGTCATTCAGTCACTTTTTCTAGAATTTATTAGATAATCCAAACAAAATTTTTGACAAAAAGAATGAGCCCACATTAATTTTTTAAATTAAGAAATATTACATTTGAAAAAAATTCAGAAACAGAATAGCTTGGATTATAGATTGTTTCATCATTCCATACTAATATTAAATCTTCCATATTCCTGTTTTAAAAAAACATAGAATACACATTTTCCTACTATTGACTGATCGAGACTAATCTAAACACCCAACCAGCTGAGTCACAGCCAATCTTGATTTAACTGGATTGGACTGGATTTCACACAGAATGTGTGAAACCAAATTGAAACATTTCCTTTGTTTTCAATGACAAGCCAGTTGAATCTTTGACTTGGTTTAGGTATGAAATGGCCCTTAGAACAGGGGTACAGGGTGGGGCAGAAAGGACGAGCATTTAAAAAAAAAATCACATCATCTGTAATTGTTACTACAAAAGATATTTGTTGGAAGATGTGAGTTCGTATTAAAATAGCATTTTACAGAATCAAGTGTAGAAAACAACATCTATGTGGTGTCTGTTATCAGTGATGCATTTCTGGAGGTGATTTTGGCAACGTCCACGCAAATAGCTTCCTTCAGTTCTTGCAGAGAACAAGCTTATGCTCATATACACTTGCCTTGAGGTGTCTCTACAAGAAATAATTGCATATGGATAGGTCAGGAGAACAAGGAGGCCAATAGCGAGGTTGCAGCCAATGTTTTCAACGCAAAAACGTATATGTTAAATGTTCAGTGTTGCTATCCTGTAAGCCTAGAAGTTTGTCAATGATGTTTGGAATGTTGAGCATGATTCTACTGACGTTCCAAATGCCATTGTCAAACTTCTAGGCTTACAGGATAACGGCACTGAACATCCGACATACACATTTTTGCATTGAACGCTTTAGCTGTAACCTTGCTAATGAATGTCACCAAACGTGGAAATGAGGCGACCAGGAAAGAGACAACAAATAACATCAATTGATGTTCTAGTTGTGAGAGCCATCACCCCATCCTGTTGAAACCACACACATCTGATGGAAATACGTTTCCATCATACTCAAGGATGCAGAAACATATTCCCATCAGATGTGTATGACTGAACCCTTTGTGTACAATTGTTTCCTCAATCATATGCAAACACACAGTGTTCTAATGTCCACAGCTCCATGCCTTCAACTGAAAAGACAATGCTAAGACCTCACTACTTTCATGCTATCTGCCACAAATCTGCCACTCTAACTGGTGGTGAGTTCTAGCCATTTCAAAAATGTCTGTCCTTTCTGCTACACCCTGTACTTTTGCTCAAAAAATTGATGTTTTGGTACTGTTGGTACTACTATAATATAATTTGGTTACTATTTTAACAAAAATATTTAATTTTAAATTAATCCTCTATCATTTAATTATTGGCATTTATTAATAACGCAACATTTTCTATATCAAGAATTAATCGTAACAACCAAATCTGACAATTCTAACAAACAAATTTGGCAATGCCACAATTTTCATAATGATATAATCTCATTCAGCAGTTCAGCCAGTCTGAGTCATCAGTGATCAGCTGTGGACTTATGTTTCAAAACTTCGTGAATCACAATTTGTTCCATTTGTGCAGGTCATTGCAGTTTTTATTTTTGTTATATAAATAACCCAACTATCATGAGTGAAAAAAGAGATGAGGTGTGTTTATGTAGTGATGATGAACAAAATAAAACTGCTGAAGTAAAAAAGTTAAAACTAACTACAGTTTATGAACAAAAAACAAGAAGAGAATGGCTGCATGATGAAAGATTTGTTTCATGGACTGACATCAGAAAAAAAAACATGAGAACTAAATGTTTTGTAAAGTTTGTAATACAGAAATTGCTGGAAGTGTCACACAAATTGAAAGACATATGAAGACAGATAAGCATAAAAAGAATATTGATTGTGTTATACAATGCTTGAAGGTAACCAAATTTTTGGAAGCTGGATCATCTTCATCTGCTCATAAAAATCAAGTAGCAGCAGCAGAACTAAAACTTTGTACATTTGTTGCAGAACATAATCTACCAATAGCAATTTTAAATTGCTTACCATATTTGCCATGATTCTACTGTTGCTAAGTCTCTTAAATGTGCATAAACAAAAAGCATTGATGTGTTTCGTTCAGTTATTGGTAAACACTATACAAATGAAATTATTACAAAATTAAAGGGAACAAGGTTTTCATTAATTTTAGATGAAACAACTGATGTATTTCCTAGATATTAGCTAGCTAGCTATATATTATGACTGTGATGTTAAAAATAAACAGTAGATAAATACTTAATTCTGTTAGAGATAACAGATTACAATGCTGAAGGAATTTTTGATTCTCTAACTTCTTTCTTTCAAAAATATGAAATACCATTTGAAAATATCATTGGTTTTGCAAGTGATAATGCAATTATTATAATGGGCAGCAAAAATGGTGTTCCACAATTGCTAACACAAAAAACCCATCACTTTTTGTGCAACGTTGTGTATGTCATTCAATGCATTTGTGCATCAAAGGCTTGTTTATTTTTACCAAATCATTTAGAAGAATTAGCTCAAAGTATTCATTCATATTTTTCAAACAGTCCAAAGAATTTGGTTGAGTATAAGGAGTTTCAAGTCTACTAATACAGATTCATGCAAAAATTTGCACATTAGTTGTACTAGATGGCTGTCGCTTGAAAAAGTAGTGAAGAGAATATTGGATCAATGGGCAGCTCTTACATTATACTTTACCTCAGTAGCATTAGAAGGTAATGTTAAATCAGTTAGTAGAATATCAGATTTACAGAACCCAGTTAATATGATGTACTATGTTTTTTAGCATTCATTTTGCCAGTGTTAATAACCTTAATATTTAATTTCGAGCTGAGAGCTTTAGAATACACAAACTAAGGCATTCAATTGAAAGAAGTGTTAAAGTTATCCTCGGTTACTTTGTCAAGAAAGAAGTAATCAAGAATCAGGATCTGATCAAGATCAATATTAGTAATCCATCAGTTTATCTTTGTCTAAATCATATTTATCATGGAGTCAAAGTAGAAACTATTTATATTGAAAATGTCTCCAAAATAACTGATAAGCAGCTTAATGAATTCTGAATTGTAACATTAAATTTTTATGCAAAACTGATCAAAGAGATGTTCAACTGATTCCTAACACATGTTCACAAATCTACAGCTGCTTGAAGCAATGGACCCTGAAAATATCAACAAAGGAAAATCTCACTCAATTATTCCCTTTGCTCTGAAATTTTCTAACATTATACCAGAAGAAGATTTTGAAATTTTAAACATAGTGGAATGAAATTACACTACAAGATACAGCTTGGTTTACTGAAACAGAGCCTGAATATTTCTGGTTTGCAATTTCAAAAGAAAAATGTGGAGATGAATACAGATATCCTTTATTGTCAAAACTGATGTTCACTGCCTCATTCTTCAGCTTGTGCCGAAAGAATATTCTCTCTATTAAATAGTATAAAGGCGAAGAATTTTTCTATATTGAAAACTGACACTATAAATGCACTTTTATATTCTAAAAATTTATTCAAAGAAACCAATTGCAAAAAATGGGACCCATCTCAAAGTTTAATTAGAATGATGAAGCAATAAGACTTAAATAAGAAAGAAAATGACCAGGAAGCATCATTCTAAAATGTAAATAATATTTTTTTAACATAAATGTTTTCTTAGCACTTTTATTTGCATTTTTAATAGTGTGGTACTTTTTAAAATATTTTGGTTTGTTTGTTTGTTAAGTTATGGCAACACAACACTTGAGCAATCTGCCTAGGGTAAATGCCTTCAAGGTGGTCTTTTTAAGGGAAACTGGCCCCTATTTACGCGTTAAAAACATGGAGAAAATCCAGAAAACTCCACGTAGCCAGCCCGTCCGAGCAAGGTACGAACCCACAACCAAACTCTCAGTGTTCAGGTTACGAAGACTGCTTGGCCACTGGTGGGCCTCAAAATATTTTGGTACTTTTCAACTTTGAAACTTGATACTTTTAACAAAACCTTCTAGCAGGCCTGCCTTAGAGGTGCTAACAAATGGTTTAAAATGCTTATTTAATTATTGTGTCAATTGATATATGAATTGTCCACTTTTTGGTAGTTAAGTAGGCCCATTCAATTTCTATTTCAAAAGAAAGCATTTTATCATTTTACATAATATAAAGGTTACATAAGAAATGTACTTTGCAGCAACATACCAAAAAAACCTTGTTTTAACATTGGCAGGAATTCATATATACATCCAAAACAAGAGTGAAGGCAAATTTAGAGCAAGCTTGTCTCTTCAGGCAGACCATTCATGCTGAACAGGCCAGTGCTCTGGAAGCCCTGGAAATTTACAAAACAGGATTGATGGGCAATTGCCTCAATTTTAATGAAGAGGGAAATATTTCAAGTACTTGACAAATATTTTATGATGGTCCAATAGGACTCGGAAAAATAGATTGCATTAATTAAGAAAACATAGGTTATACATAAAATTTATGTAAATTTATTCAACATCAATTTAAATGTGTAAATATTTATATAACATCAATTTGAATTTGTTGATATTTATACTAGGAACATGGAAAAGAAATTTGAATTCTGCCATAATTTCAAATTTTAAAATATTGTAACTGTCACCTTCACATTTTAAAAAAGAAAATATCAAAGACTTGAAGAAGACCTATCTCTAGGTTGAAACTCCTGCTAGTGTTAAAACAAAGTTTTTTGGTGTGCTGATCAATTAATCCTGTTTTACAAGTACAGTAGAGCATCGATTATCTGAATACCGATAAACCAAAACATCGGTTAACTGAAATCCTTCCAGTCAGCAAATTCAAATTTCCACTAGTGCTGTTGCGCTGCAGCACTCTCCCCCACCCTGCCAACCTAAACTGTAGGACAACTTTAATGTACTACTTTATGTAAGGTATGTATTTGTAAGATGTGTGATACAAAATACATACAGTACAGTTTTGTGTTTAATATAATTTTTCATAAATGATCAGTTATCCAAACAACCTCAGTCTTGAATTGTTTCGGATAATCCTTTCTCTACTGTATTTGGCAAGACTTTGCATTAAAAATATGCATTTAAACTTGAAAATATTGTACAACAAATTCAATTGAAAGTAGAAATCCTTTTAATACCATAAAAATGACATTTTGACTTGATATGTGAGCAAAGAAAATATGTACAGTAGAACCTCGGTATATGACCTAAATCCGTTCCTGCTGTTTAGACTTATACCGAATAGGACGTATACCAAACCAACCTTTTCCATAAGAAGTAATGTAAAAATGATTAATCCGTTCTCAAGTAAAAAAAATGGCTGGCTTTAAACACCTTGCTAGTTCCTGCTTAATTTTTTATGAGATCAGCATGTATCCCTTTAGCTTTCTCGCAAATAATTTCTTTCGATACGCTGTCACCAGCACACTGTTTTTCAGTTATCCAAAGCAAAAGCAATTTCTCGACACGATCTAATGTCTTTATTTTTCACGATTATCGATATCGTCGTTCTCGGAATACAGAATGCAACAGTTAAATCTCGAACACGCGTGCCACCTTCATATTTCTCAACAATCTCTTTTTTCAGTTCCATTGTCATTTTTTTTATTTTTCTGTTGCCTTTTTGCAATTCATGATTAATAAAAATAATAAAATGTTACAAATTAAAATCAGAAGAAATTTAACAAAGTTATAAACCGTGGCACCACGAACATCTAATCTGGTCTAGTACACCGATAGTGCTACTTGTTCATAGATGGCGCTTATAATTGAATTAAGTCATATACCGAACAAAAGTCGTATACTGAGCAAAATTTGTTTCGTCCAAACAGGACGTATTCCGAATTGGACGTATTCTAAAGCAGACGTATACCGAGGTTCCAGTGTATTTTAAAAAACTGATATTGAAATCAACATCACAGCTTCAGCATCATTGGTTTGTTTTTTTACACACCTAATAAAGTACAATTAATTTTATAACTTATCAATTAATTTTGAAAATTTATGTTAATGTTTACAAAATTCTATGTTTATAATTTAAAATCCAGAAATTATTTAAACAACATAAAATCATTGTTCATGTAACTACTCAACACAAAAATAAGCATAAGAAGTTATGTATAAATTACATACACACATGTATATATAAATCATATATATTAATTAATATATATATATAAATGATGAGTGGCTGGGTTATTCAAATTAATGTTTAAAGAAACGATAAAAGTCAATCTGGTATGATGATTTATTTTTGAAAATGTATAAAACAAACATATTTTTTATTTTAATACAGAGGCAATTATTCAATTTTTTTTCTGTATTGTGATATAATGAGAAAATATTTTAAAATCCAAAAAAATATTATAAAAAATCTTTTTCAAAAATAAATAACAACCATTCCCAAATCATTGTTTATGTTATTTCTATTATGAATCACTTAAGTTATTTAAAAATTAACAAATTAAAAAATGTTATAAAAACAGACAGGAAAAAAGAAAAATTTCCTCATTTCTCATTTCCAAAAATTCCTCATTTTCAATTTCAAATTCAATTTCCAAAAATTCCTCATTTCCTTTTTTCCTCATTTCTTTTTATGACAATTTTGTTTTTTTAGGAAATATAAACATATGTCAGATTGATTGTCAAGCACCCAGCATAATTTGACAATTTTTTATTGAAATATTTTTATAATATTTTTATTGGATGGCCAAGTTGTTAAGATGACAGCCTACCACTCTGGGAGACCCCTGAATTGAATCAGGATGGATCAAAAAATCCCAAAAATCTTTTGGGGCAGCTGTCCAGATATGTTGGACCCCATTCCTCACCATCCAAGCACTGCTATGGGTCTAGCCAAACCCATGATGGGTTTACTAAAAAAAAAATACTGTCTTAATGTCCTCAAGGCAGAAAGAATCAAAAATAAAAATTTCAAATAAACAGCAATGACTAAATTTACTTCATAAGCTTTACTGGATTTTAATGTTATATCTATTTTTTTTACACAACTATTTAAAAAAAACTTTATTAACTGTTTAATATGATTGTGTAATATCATAAATAAACTAATTTTAGGACTAAATAAATTCTGTAAATCAAACAAACCATATCTTCCAATATTCTCCACTGTCCTTTTCTTGCCAGTTTTGTTCTTTTCCATCTTTCTTGAATTTGACATTTGCTTCTACCCTCTAAATAATATGCAACTGCAAAAAACAATAATAATAATAATAAAATAATTATGAAATTAAAATGTATAAATATTTTCATATAATACTGCATTGAAAATTTTGAATAAGAATGAATTTTGTAAATTTTGTAATTTGAAAAATATCTATAACATAGAAATGTGTTAATATGACATATATTTTAAATTAAGACAAATTAGCTACTTGATTAGCTTAATTTTTAGCTATAAACATTACCTTCTGAATGTTTTAGATATTTATTAAATACAATAAAATAACCTTCATGTATATTAGTTCATCATTAAATTTTTGTTCTTTATTGCATTGAGATGTTTGTTGGAGTTTTTAATAACATTCATGTACAAGATAAAATACAGATTACAATCAAACTTCTATAATTTTATTAAAAGTATAAATAATAAATATTACTCAAAATCCAATTTCTTTAAATCTATTTTGTAATAATAGTTGCATTACACTATCATTCAAATTAATTTTTTATTTTATCAGTCCAGTTGTTCTTGTATTAATTAATTAACATTTGTAATATTTAAAAAAACTTTCTCTGTACATTATGCTTATATGAAAATGATTCAATAAGTAACCTTAATTAACTTTTATCTAAGTAGCTATAATTTATATGACAGAAAATGTGGGATTACTTTTTCAGGTAGACCCTTTGGCATTCAATGTAAGTTAGCCAAATTTTGGATAATGTCTGAATTCCAGCAGAAAAGAAATCTTTTAGCTAGATGCAAAGCCATTTACGCATCATTTTTTTCTGTATCTCTCTATTTAAATGAAATTTCCAGTTGCTAACATATACTTCATGCATGTAAAGATGTGATAATACAGCAGCACAAAGCATAAAGAATATGTGAATTTGGAAGACACTCAAATCATTGCTCCTTTATTTTCAGTATCAACTACTCTGATACCTGTTTAGCGCATAGCTTTTTATATTTCAACACATCACAGATATATAGTATGTTGAACCAACACTCATCTGCAAAATCTCAGCCAGTTCTTCCATGACAATATAACAGACAATATAATGACCATAAATAAAAACTGTTTTAGTTATTTTTAAAATATTCTTCTCCAAGTCAATGCACTTATACCATCATAAAATACAATTTTCATAAACCCGTGTGAAGTCCCATTTTGACACTGTTCAGTATACCTGTCATGTTTTTCTCATCACTACAGAATTCCCACCCTTGCACATGAGATTTTACTTCGGAAAGAGGGGGAAAAAATCACAAGATGTGAGATCTGGAGAGTAAGAAGGATGGGCCATTAGCTCAATGTTCAGATCAGAAATGGTTTTGCTCATAATCAGAGTGTTTCTTTATGATTTTCCTCTTCAATTGGATTCTTTAGGATCCCTGAATAATACTCTCTAGTAACAGTTTTATCTCTTGGAACACAAATGGTCATAATTGAAGCTGTTTTTTTCTAAAAAAAACCACATGCATAATTTGCCTGCACTTCATTCCAATTTTTCTTTTTTAGTCAGTGGTTACTGAGATGCTTCTACAAAGCACTCTCCATTTTTCACTGTCAGTTCAAACTAATGAAATCACAATTCATTACAGGTTAATTTGGTCTACATTAGTCTTGATTTCCATTGTTGGCACAACCCACGCAATCATCAATTACCTCCTGTCCATCCCAAAATTTCTTATGTCAGTCAAACATCCATGGCTGTGATAAAGCATATTCCTTAAATGCTTCTCGAATAACACTGAAAATTTTTTGTTGAGGATTTGTCCTCAGAATTTAAATGCTACCATTTGTTCATCTTTCAGATCTATGTCCAGGTATGTGTTATACTGGTCTATTTGATAGCCTGTGGGAATTGAATAAAAAGATGTACTCATTACAATATGACCTAACATATATATAATAATGGCATTGAAATGTGTGACGAGCAGGGGCGGATCTACATAGGGACTAATAGGGCTTAAGCCCTAGGCCTCCAAAAATTGAATTATCATAAATTTTTAATACTTTTTCATTAACAATGAGGACTTATTGTATAGTAAAAAATAGTTAATATTAATCTATATAAATAAAAATGTAAATGTTCGTTTGTTCAAAATCTTAAATCTCCGAAAGTTCTTCATTGATTGCTTTGAAATTTTGATACAACATTGCATTCAAATACGCGTGTTTTTATATCAAAATTCCTCCGAGGGGGGAGAGGGAGAAAATTAAGGCTTAAGCTGAAGAACAGCTTCTACTGTAATATTTTAGATGCAATTTTTTGTTTCTGGTGGTAATTAATTTTCAAACATACAATATTTATATTTTACGCTTTTTTAACCAAATGTTCGAACTGGTTTAAATTCAAATTTGTTATTGCATATTGGTTTGATTATAGAACAATTGTAAACATTCCAGAAAATTGATCAGATTGAAAATGCTCTTTTAAAGCAGTAAAATGATTCTCAGCAATAAGGGGTATGTGTTGTATAACATTGTTATAAATTAAATAATTACTACGGTTGTTGAAATACTGAATATAAATGCTGTTATGATGCCCCACACCATCGTTCCAATTATACATTATGGAGCTTGCCTCTTTAGAGCAATATCCTTTGTTTTATATGACACTCAAGTGATGGCCAAAGAAGTACGTGCAGAAATAGTGGCTTATGTGATGAGTCACTGGATGATTTTTTGAGGGAGGGTTATTTCTGTCAAATTGCAAAATCCACACGGGCAAAGCCATGGGTAACAGCTAGTAATATAATAACAACAATTTACAATAAAACAAATAATACTATTATTTGTTTTATTGTAAATGGACTTCAATAAGATCCTAGGCCCCAAAAAATCTAGATCTGCCCCTGATGATGAGTACAAGTATACCTGACAATTGTTTTTTTTTTATAAATCTAGACCAGCCTTCGTAAAATGCACATTAAAAAATATCATATCAAATTTGAAAATAAAAAAAAGTTGTTATTCCAACATTAGTAATTCATAAGAAACAAAAGCAAATATTACACATATTAAACAGTAGCAAGTTATTTAATTTAAAAGTTTCTAGTTAATTAAGAAAAGTTAAAACATTTTCTTCTAAACTATATCAGTTTTAAATTTATAAATAAATTTTAATAAAAATATCCTTTTTATATAATTTTTTGAAAAAATTTATAGAAAATAAATAATTACACTTAATTATTAATGATTCTGTACATAACTATATAGTTGTTATATGAAAAGATAATGAAAGAAAAAAATAAGAAAATTTTTGCAAAGTTTAAAATCATATGAAATACATATGATAATTATAACCATTTTACAGTTTAAATGCATTAAAACTCTTAATAAAATCTTATAAATTGGAAATATACATGTATGCAAATGTTAACAAATAAAAACTCAAGTATTACAATATAATAAATAAAATTATCATTTATAAAAATATACCTTGATGCCAAGGAACGTAATTGCCAACTCTACAAGCTTCTACAACTTCTGCTAAAAGATCATCTTCTTCCTTTGTCCATGGACTATAACATATGAAAAAATAATGTATATTTTAATAACAGAATTTAAAAAATTAATTAGTTTTGAGAACTAAACTGGATGCTTTTTTAATTGGTATTCCAGAATTTTTACTTTTCCAGCTAATATGAAATATAAGTATGGTGGTTGGTCAAAATCTGATCCCTCCTTTTTGCATTTCTCAATAGTTTGATAATCCAGGAGCCCAAAAATGTGAAATAAACTTACAAGATTCTGTATGTGTATGTGTCAGCATCTATTTTGCATTATATTTCAGGACTTTGATGTTTATAAATTTTAAAGATTCTCTTTCAGATGATAGACTTGGTCACCAGAGACTGATCTCCCAGTGACCAAAAACATATATGGTTAAGTATTGTATTTCAGACAGGAGACTTGTTGCTGAAATGATGCTGTAGACCAAATGTATCTTATCCCTTACTATCTCCTAGAGACTGCGAGATTTCAGAAAGATTCTTTTACAGTGCAGTTAAGATGGGAGACAAGTCACAATAAATACTTCCAATAATTTTTTTGACATTAAAAAGTTTATCTATTTAATTAAGGACAAAAGTGCCATTTGGGATCAAGAATCTGATAAATACAGCAATAAAACTAAAAGATTAATCAAGATGCCTAAACAGAAAAATCCTTTTAAGTATCTTCCACGGTATTTTTTTGTAATAAATTCATCTATATTGTCCACCATCATTTCTATTTTTTTGTTGTTTTTTTCTTTGAGAGAACAACAATAGCAACAGCACCTTCTGCCTCCAGCATGCTATTATTAGGAAAATTTCAATGACAGCCAGCAAGTGGGAAGGGATGGGTAACTGTTTGTTGTAAATCTCCTTTTGCCTAAGTGAGTTATACTAACCTGGTGACCAAGTCTACTGTGTAAATATAAGGGGATGGAAATAGGTAGACTTAAGGAAAATCTTACTCATTATTTGCATTTACAGTTTTCTTAGAAATTTTTCTCTACCTTCAAAATTAAGCCTTTTGCCTTTTTATAATAATTAATAATATAAAAATTATTTTTAAATAAAATCTCATAACACAGGTTATCAAAAAATAAATCATTAAGTGTTTTTTAAATATATAAACTTATCATAATTGAATAAAATTAGTCCTTTTAAGATTTATTTATTACTTAAATTTTATTGTAGTATAACTTACAATTATTGGACTTCCATTTTGGTCTCCTAACCCCCTGTTCAAGTGCCAGAAAAGTTAAGCAATAACCCTTGCCAGCTTTTTACAAAATATAATAGTTATGAAGTTAAAATCTGATAATAGCTAATTAAATTAACTGAAAATATTTGTGAGAAAATCCAGCAATGAGTTGTGTAACTTTCCCAGCAATAATTAAAATTGTATGTGGCATCATCTGTTACAAAATTTTATTTTAAAAACTTCATTATTATTAATTATAAAATGGCAAAAAGCTTAATTATGAGAGTAAAGATGAGTTTTATAAAAAACTGTAAATGCTCATTAAGTAAATTAAGCTCATTATGTAAAATCTCATTAAGTCTGACTCCACTCAAAATATGACACATGAACCCCCATCTATCTGCTCACTCCCTCGATCTTTAACCAATAAAATTGAATAGTACCAATACCACAACAAACAAATCTCCCTGCAAAATTTCAGAATCTTTGACAAAAGGTACAGGAGTTAAGCTTCAAAGTGGGTGTCCCATGCTCACACACATACAAAAAACTCCCAACGTTTTCTGCATTTCTTGGCATTCAAGGGTCCCGAGTCCAAAACTGTAAAAATCAGGGGCTATTTTTTGACAATCGCCATACTTTCTTACTATATATAACAGCTGAGAAAGTAAAAATTAAATGCTGAATATTAAAAATTTTAATTTTTTGAGATAGGTTAATTACTGTTTACTTTAGTTCTAATTAATTAAATATAAATATTATTTTCTTTAATGAAATAAAAAATTGTTAATTAGCAAAATACTTGCAGAATCATTCAATTTTTTTTTCAGAATTAAATAATTCATATAAATATATAATAGGACAATGTATGTAGAGGGTAACTTAATTCATTACAGCATTACCCTTATAAATTTATCAGCAAGCTTTCAAATTTTATATATTTGCTTATTATAAACATTTAAATCAAAGAATTATAGTAATTGTGATTTCATAAATATCAATTATTATTATTTTTGTCTCCAAAATGCAAATCTATTCTTTGATATATTTGGAAAATTGTACCTTTTTAAACACTATGGTATCAATATAGTCTATTGTAAGGAAATTAAAAACAATTCATAATATTCATATCAGTAATCCAACATGTAATGTGAAAAATAATGAGTATTATAATAAAGTCTAAACATTGAATTATGCATTAAATTATGCTCAACTCAATGTTTGGACTTGTTCTAAGCACTTATTAATCATTTCTTCCCCAATGGTAATTGTAATATTGCAAACTTTTGGCTCAGAAAGAAATTTTTATCCTCATCCAGAAATATAAATTTGTTTCTTTAAATTTGGACATTTTACAAATGCTTTTCATAATCACAGTTTCATAGCATATCCTACAATTTTCAAAATTTTTTCAGTGCTATTGATACACAATTGTTTTTATAAAACAAATCATCTCACAAGTAAGAAACTGATCTTAATAATATTATTATTTGAGAATTAAGTAAAGGCTTTACATTTACAGGGCAAGCATTGCAAAAATTTTCAAATTTCATGAAAATTTGTATTGCCCAATTAGTCCTAGATTTTCTCCGTGTCTCCCTAAACATTTACACAATCGTTTACAATTAATAGAAAAGAATTAAAATCTTTTAAACACATTTAAACATGTTTTACAATAATAAGTAACATTATAGACACGTGTTTCTGACAACAATGTATCAAAATTTTATTACAAAGTTGAAAATAAGAGAAATATACCAGGATTTTCACCAGACACATAACATACAAAAGTTACTGGTCTTCCTACTTGTATAACATTCACTATGAGACTGAAAGTATGCATGTTACACAATCATTTGGGATAAATGCAGCGAGAAGCAGCCAAATTCTTAGTATAATAAGTTTCATTAGACTATCGTAAAACACTAATCAGTGAATATAGGAACTCAACTGTATTGTTAAGACTTAATTAATCAGAGTAAAAAGACAACCATTCATACTGCTACATTGTGATTTTTGAAAAAATTTGTACACTAATAAGAAGCTTCATTCAACATCTTTTCTCTCCTAATGTTTCTGCACATCAACTTAAATTTATATTCATAATATAAATATTGTCTTTATTTCCTATCTTATAGTAATTTTCAATTTTTCTTTCTGAATAAATTCATTCTCCAGCATTTTTATAAATCTATCAAATTTGAATGTAAATAATTTACACTAAAACTTTGATTACAGCATGCAGCCAATTCAAGGTTATATTCATAAAAATTTATTGTGTGTGGCCTGCATACAAGGAAAATATTGGTTAAAACTAACTACAATACAGGGTGTCCATAAAGTCCATGTGCAATTTAAAAAATTTATAACTTCATTAGTATTTGTGATAGAGAAATTATGTAGAATGTATTAGAAATAAGAAAATCTATATTTTTTTTATTGTTCTATTGTATTTTATTAAGTTTCCATTCCACCATCATTAGTAACACAAAGTGTAATATGATTTTGTAGTTCTCTAAAAACATTTTCCAATTGATTTACAGTAATGCCTGAAATCACATTAGTTATTTTAGCTTTCAAGTTTTCTAATGATTGCGGTTTGGTTGCATACACTACTGTTTTCACATGTCGTCATAAAAAAAAAAATCTAATGGAGTCAAATCTGGCAAATGTGGAAGCCAAGAAAATGGTCCACCTCTTCTAATCCATCTGTTATCCAATTTTATTTAAAACTAGGTACATTAAGCTTTCTAATACTTTTACAGATTTTTTCCTATCACAAATACTAATAAAGTTATACATTTTTTAAATTGCACACAGACTTTATGGATACTCTGTATAAAGAAAAATGCAGTAAAATATACCAGTAATAATGCAATAATATACCAAAAATGATTTTTAAAGCATTTGTAAAAATTGGCAAAAATGACCAACAAAATGGTGTACAATCAACTCTAATACAATAGCACAGTGAGATTTGCATAAATAATGTTATTCCTAATGTTCCTTTCCTGTTAGTTTTTATTCTGAAACTGTATCTAATACCTTGGCTACAGGTTGCAGCCTATATACGAGAGCAGCTTCTCTATGAAAATGTCAACCATCCTTTACAACATTTGTTTTGCAGCTTATACATGAGGATAGCCTATAGTCAAGGTTTTTAGAATAATACAAAAGCATTAGATTAGGTAAAATTTAATTCTGATTATTTTGTATGCATATTACAATAGTTATAAATCAGTTATGATAAGTAAATAAATAAATTTTCAATTTAACAGTTTAAATGCAATCATCACTGAACAGACATAATAAAATAAATAAATATACATATAAAATTCTTCAACATGCATAAAATAAAACAAATTATAATAATAAATAATTAAAAAAATAAATAAAGGAAAAAGATAACTGAAAACTAAAGAAATGCAGCAAGAGTAAGACACAAGAATAAAAACAGAAAACTAAAGCTGAAAGAAAAAAATCGTATGACCCTTTTTTCCTTACTTTTAAAAATACATATTTATTAAATTATCTATAAAATATTTTTGTTGTAAATTTATACTTTATTGGACAAGAAATCCTTAATAGTTTAAATCCATTTATTAAGTATAAAATGATTTGTATTTTATATTTATAGATGCTTATATTTTACAATTCAATATTAATGTAGGTATGTTATTTAATACAACATTTATGCAATGTTTTTCACTTCATAAATATTACATCAAATATTTATTTTATAAAGTTTATAAATTTTTGAATTTTCTTACATATTCAGGACATTAAATATAAAAAATAATTCTGCAAGTTTCAAAAAATAATATTAAAACAATAAATTTTTAATTACTAACCCACTGGCATTAGTTTTGGATACTTCTTTTTGATATTTTTGTAAACACTGCCAAGCTGTTCGATTTGTCTAAATGAAATAATTTAAATAAGTTTTTTATAATACTCATTATAAAGCTTTAAAAAATGTTGTATATAAATTATTAAAATTTACAAATTGTAAAATTTTATCAAAATTTTCTTATTTCTTTAAAGATAAAAAAAAATATGTAATGCATATGAACAAAATAAAAACAAGCTTAAAGGATTAAGAACTGTATACATAAATTTAAGATCTATTAATTATAGTTTAATTGTCAATTAACAAGATTGAAATTTTTGTGGCGTAGTAAACACTAGTATTGTGTTTTATTCCAAAGGCACATGGCAAATTTTCCATCAAATTCCTTTATTAGTTGAGTCGATACGGTACATTGTTATGTACTCGTTTCGGGCTTTGCTCCTCTTCAGTCAACTAAAATACAATATACAGTGGTACCTCGATATACATCTGCTTTAGAATACGTCCAATTCGGAATATGTAATGTTTGGACAAAACAAATTTTGCTTGGTATACGACTTTTGTTCGGTATACGACTTAATTTAATTCAATTATACGCACCATCTATGAACAAGTAGCACTATCGGTGTAGTAGGCCAGACTAGACGTTCGCGGTGCTACAGTTTATAACTTTGTTAAATTTCTTCTGATTTTAATTTGTAAGTAAAATTTAATTAGTTCTATTAATGATGAATTGCATAAAGGCAAATGAAAAGCAACAGAAAACTAAAAAGTTGACTAGGATCACAATGGAACTGAAAAAAAGAGATTGTTGAGAAATATGAAAGCGGTATGCGTGTTCCAGATTTAACTGCTGCATACCGTATTCCCGGAACGACGATATCGACAATTGTGTAAAATAAAGACATTATTAAATCTGCTAACGTTGCAAAAGGGGTTAAATCAATTTCGAAACAGAGATCAAGAATATTAGATCATGTGAGAAATTGCTTTTGCTTTGGATAACTGAAAAACAGTGTGCTGGCGACAGCGTATCAGAACTGACATTAAAAATCACTTGAAATGTGCGAAACATAAGGCAAACTAGTAGCAACAGAAGCAATTATTTGCGAGAAAGTTAAAAAGATACATGCTGATCTTACGAAGAATCAACCAGGAACTAGCCAGGATAGCAAGGTGTTTAAAGCCAGCCATTTTTTTTACATGAGAACGGATTAATCATTTTTACATTACTTCTTATGAGAAAGGTTTGTTTGGTATACGTCCTATTCGGTATAAGTCCAAACATCAGGAACGGATTAAGGTCGTATACCGAGGTTCCACTGTATATTTTAACTTATTACAGTGGAGAATTTACATAAAACAATGAGTACATAAACAATATATAGATGTACCTTTTGGTTACACTTTGTATAATTTAAAAACATGTAAAATCTGCTTTAATCTTTTGTAAATAAACTAGTATATATTACAACTTAAAAGGTTAAAATCTTCTCTTTTAGGCATATTTTGATACAACACAACTGTAAAAAATTTTTAATGTTTCTGCCCCCTTTTTACCTTCCACCCCCTTTTTATTTTTTCTTTTGCACTGGTATCTCAAGTGTTGCCACATATGACGTTCGTCACCTTGTGGTTTGATTTTTAGCAAAATCTGTCTTGGAAAAATTATTTCTAGGAGAAATTGCTTTTCACAGTAAAAAATTATAAATAAATAAAATTTATTTATAATATATTAATCCAGTTTTCGTTTATTTTAAGACTTAAGTTTTTATTTATACTGTCTTTACTTTTCATGATTTCTATGGTTTCTTTGAACTTCCTGTTGTATGTTAATTTTTCTTTATGCAGTATTTCTACGTTATCTTTATCTATATTACAGTTGTTTATAGTACAATGTTCGTAAAATGCAGAATTTATTCTATTGTATTT